TTTTTAGCTGCTGCTTATCATTTTTGTATCTCTACTGAGATCCAGCCATTGTTTCCCACAGCATTGTTGTTTTCCAGTATTTTGCCTTTTAATCTATATATATATATATTCAGGGTGGGGTGTTTTACATTTGTCACTTCAACATGTAACTTCCACAAACGTAATAATTTGATCATGATGAAAGGTAGGGTTTGTTTAAATGTAATGGCAAAAACAAATCGTAATCAAATTTGCATCCCTTATATATTTCTTATAGTAGGTTGAGGTTGGTCATCTAGGCCAATTTCACATTTTAGTATTTTCGGAAAGAATAGCTATTGAAGAACGTTTCTACCTACACTTTCATACTATTAAGCTACGGTTTTCTCACAGGGGTCACTTCACCTTTATAGACTAAACTTTGTCATCACTCCGAAGTCTTGTTCAACAAATATTTGTAATTTGTATATGTACAGTATATGGGTGCAATATTGCTTATTCTTCTCCATACAGTATTAGGGTGTGATATGACTTCATCCATATCCAAGGACCACAGATATTTATAATAAAAAATAAGTATGAACAGAAGTTAAAAAAAGTAGCTGTTTTTAGACTTAAGAGAAATGTTGGACTTGATTTCAACAAATAATTAGATTGCGAAGCAAGTACTGTACCTAAATCAACCAGACGAAGCACAATTATAATATAATATAAATTAATGATCACTAATTTATTAATACACTCCATGCTTAATTATATATTATAGTAGTAAATTCAAGAGAATATTATAATACACTACAGGGTACTGAATATAATTCACAATTTGGTTGAAACGAGTGCTGTTACAGAAGTCATCTTCACTGTTCAATTACAACTAGATTACTTGTATCTGTTTAAGAGAGCTTTCGATTGCATGACAACGGTAGATGTAGAACTGCAAATAGATGTCACATAAAGTCATCTGGACATACGAGAACGTCCGATTTCTTGCTGCCCCATGAAAGCAATTTAACTAAATCTACATTGTGCATCTGTTTCTTTCCTCCATAGTTGTGCAGAGGACGTAGGATGGTCATGCATCACTGATTCCGTTCTAACGTCGCACTGTCGTGCAAAATGAAAGCTCCATATTACTCGATCTAAAACGGGCATGTGCTTCAAAAAAGAATGCAACAAGGCACATGAGCAGGGATTGTTTTTAATGACAATCTGTTCAGTTTGCCGTCAACAGATGGCACCATGTTGTCTAGGCCTCACACAGAGAGCGGAGATGGAATCGTTAGCCAATGGTCGTACCAAGACATAGGTGAATTCAAAAGGGGGAGCAGTTGCCCCCTCTATATCTCTAATTCCTGGATCCGCCACTGGAAGTAGTGTGTGCCTGGCTTGTAATACCTTTGTGCTATAGGTGTGTACCGGTTTACTAGATTTGGTGGTTAAATTTTATTTTAAATTATTACACAGATGCCAGCCAAGAACAGTATGAGCAAATGGCAGGCATTAAATTTCCTTAGGAAAATTAACATCTCCTCAGATGACCGGAAATGGCTTCTCCACCACTTTTTACAACCAAAAAATCAGGTAAAAATTGGCCTACATTTGGAGGATAGGCCTTAATGCATTTTAGATTGTCTGAGCCTTTTGAAAAATGACAGTACAGTACGTACTTGGTTATCAAAAATACAAAAGTTCATAAAAAAAATATGTATACTAACAATAACGATTTTTGTTGAGATTATAAATTCAATTCATACACCAGAAAGATTGCAAATTTTTTTAAGCATATTCAGTAGATGGTGCATGCTTAGTAAGAACATAGCTTTGTAGTATTTAAAAAATTAATGCGGATATTTTTGGCTTTGGATCATAAGATAATTATTGACAATGTGACGCTAAAGCCAAATGAGTGACTTGGTAGAACCACTATAAATATACATGCTTCATCTTTAAGGTGTTTTGCTGACTTAGAGATGGATGAAAGCGGGATTAGATGCATTTCACTATTCAGTATGTCGGTAGCAAAACCCTTTTCCAATTGCACGAGGCAGTCGGCAAGGCTGTCCTGTCTTGGTAAATCCACTGCACGGCAGGCGATTGGGGCTTGCAGATCGTGATCTACATAAAAGAATAAACGTTTTTGAAAATAGAATTACTTTGGTAATGGTGAAGAAACCTAGCAATGGTATGAGTGGATAAAATTCCTTTGGAGTGTAGTTGCAGCTTGCTGGTTGAAGTCAACTACAGGGTTCGGAGTTAAATTTTCCTGTCATAAGCACAGTTCTTATTCCACAACTAAAAACAAAATGATTGGATTGGATTTATTTGGTGTAAACACCAAGGACAACCCACACAAAAAAACCCAAAGACAATTGTACAATATAATTCAGCAATTGCAATTTAAAAAAAAATTGATATCTAATAATTATATTAATTGGTTCATTGTATTTATACGAGTTATGTGCAATACTTGTTTTCTTATGTTTTTTTTTAATATACTGTATATTTTTAATCATTTTGCTACTGTTTCTATCTGGTTACTGAATTTTCAAATGGATATTTCTGTAGTGTATTGCTTTTTGTTTTTTCTGTCCCTAATTTTGTATATACTGTGGTATGTTTTTTGATATTGTTGCTGTTGTTGCTGTCTTTATTGATGTTGTTATCAGCACCATTACCTTTTCTTAGCACTGTCAGTTTTACTATTTGGAGTTGCTGATGTGACGTTTTCCATTACAACCCCAAGATGTCTTTTGGCAGGATTGAAGGTACTACTTCCAAAACTTCCAGCAAACTCTGTCCCAGTAGGTATTGGAGTGACATCAGGATGGTTTGCAGTACTATCCATGTGGGTACTCTCCAGAATCGGCATCAGCATGGAACTTGTTGAGAGGGTTGTGTCAGAAGAGGATGGATCACAGGATGATGCAAGAATTCTAGTCGAGTTTGGCATATAGGTGTTGTCACTAATACTGGAGTATTCTGAACTGGCAAGGTTAATGACATCATTGTCTAACTTGAACCTAAGATATTAAGGACAATAAAAGTGAATTTATGAATAACAATAAGCTTAATTCTAGTGTTCATTGCCAAATTATGGGTCACTTCATACATTTTCATAAATATTTGTTTATTATTAAATATTATTTATTAAAGATTGTAAAAAAAAAAAATTCTTGCCCAAAAAAACTTGACCCTCCATTTTCAAGATTTTGGTTGGGTTTGTGCAACACAAAATTACGTGCTTTTATATCACTAGATTCGGGTTTGTGCAACACAAATATTTTTTGGATGAGAATGATACAAATAGCAATTTACTACCAACCATAATTTGGAGAGTAACATATAACCCCAATAAGAAATGTATGATAATTAATGAAAATTAAGGCTACAAATTACAACAAAAAAAGCTAGTCATCACTGTCAACAATCTCTAAACCAAGTCTACGAAACTTGGGGTAAGGAGTGTGTGGAGTTTATTTGGACATGAAACAATCAAATGTCATTGAAATATCAACCTTACCTTTCAGGTAGGCCTACTGGTGATGTTGATGGCAGAGCCACAGGTGACTGATGAACTGGATTATGCACAGGAACAGATACTGGGTCTTTGTTTCGATCTTTCACATTGTAAAACAAGATAACTAACCAGTTGACTGGAGAAATAAAAATAAGTAAAAGGATTGTTTAATTATTTTCATGATAGTTAAAAAAATATGTATATATTTCTTAATACCAACCACATCACTCCACTCCTTTAATACTCCACTAATTATAAAACAAGAACGATCTGTGGATACATTTAAGGCACTACTCAAAACCCATTTATTCTAACAAATAATTGTATAACTTAGAGCAGCTTATTAGCTGAGTCGGCTAATCGGGCGGTAGCCCTACCTTGGTTGCACCGGCCGCCTGTGGCAGGGTAAATGTGAAACCTGCTCCTTTGTTCGCACAACCTAGGGGATCCTTTGAGACAAATCGCTGTTTTGCCACACCTTATGTTATTGTAAAGTTGTCATGCTTTTTGTTCTCATAATTTGATGTAAAGCGCATTATGCGCTATATAAGTGTGAATTATTATTACCGGTATTATTATTATTATTATATGCAACATATTCTCAGCTTTGTGAATTAGACTAAATAAGGAAATTCTATGACTTACTGATAACTGTGATGAAGAGGACAAAGGTCATTGATGCAAAATCTAAGCTTGTCATGTGACGAATCTCAGCCAATGCGTTCAGGGGCACAAGGAACAGAAGCATCATGCGTGAGAACACTGGTGTGTACACGAACGTGATTGCAATAGCAGCAAGGACAAAGTAGCATGCATGTTGCACGCAAATTGACACTACATCCAGGCTCGTACCTAATGATGACAAAAAAAATTACAGTATCAACTGCCAACTTATAAGACTTTCCAATTAAGAGAGAGTCTAATGGTTTATTTATTAATAAACCATATATAAACATCATGTTCCCATCTTGTAGGAATATTGTGTTGCCTTTGAATTTCCACAATCCCACAGTAAGTATAAACATGACTGTTCTCCCACAGAGCCTGGTTTAGTCTCATTTCATTGTGAGGCTTACAGAGTGGAGCTGTTTTTCATATCTCATAAAATTATAGTACTTTTTATAGTACAGAATTAGGACAAGAACTGGAAGACAATGTTAATCAAACGCCATCATAATTGACGCACCATGCATGTTTTTTTACTCAATTTAGGTCACATGGCTCTCATCACTAAATAGATCTATTCACTATTATCTCATGATATCATCCGAAGATTTTGTATTTGGATACATGTAAAATAAACATTAACATGTACTATGTAATAAGAATAATTTTATTTTTAAAGAAGAGTGACATCATCCAGATGAACGCATCATTATGGTTGATACACATACTCTACCACGTCACTTTACCTGTGCTTTGCACTAAGTTTGAGAGCCATGTTAGCTGTTTATCGATGCCATTCTGCATCTCATTGACGCGGTTGACGAGGTAGATTACCGTGTCGTTCATCTTCTTCATGTTATCCATGGCATCCTGGTAATATTGGGACGCCTCATTCTGGTGCAGGGTAACATGCTCCATGTTGTCATCTAAAGTTATCAATAAAAAATAAAAATTACAATGACAAAAATTTAAAGCACACCTTAATTTTTCTTTTAAATTTAAATGTAATCCACATGCAAATTTTATGAAAAATAAATAAAATAATCTTAATTAATGACAATAACTATAAAATTATAATGAATAAAAGGATTGTTTCCAGAACATTTTGAGGCAGTTGTTAAGCATCGTTTACCTAGTTTATTCCAGACCTGTTTAGCTTTATCTTGTATACTTAGCAGATCTTTCAGCAGTTCCTGATGATTCTGGCGATGGTCATCCCCTTGAGCAAAAAGCTGCTGCGTAGCATTCTCTGTAAAAATAAAGTTTCAGAGAAATAATTAGGAATCAGCTGTCAGGAGCAAATGAGGTTAAAATCAAGGATAGGAAAGTCCTAAACCTGAAGAGGATGGAAGGATATTCTGAGTGCATTTTTTAAGAGGATGGAAGTAACTACAGTGCTGCAGCAGAAAAGGATGGAAGGAACTATGGTACTGCAGCTAAAGAGGATGGAAAGAACTACAGTACTGTAGCTGAAGAGGATAGAAGGAACAATAGTGCTGCAGCTGAAGAAGAATGGAAGGAACTGCAGTAATGCAGTTGAAGAGGACGGAAGGAATTACAGAACTGCAGCTTAAGAGGATGGAAGGAACTACAGTATTGTAGGTTTAGTTGTTGTTTGTGTCATCTTAAATCAAAGATCTTATAATAACAACATCACGTTCTCCATGATTTCTGCGTGTAAATTCTGTAATAATGCAATGTATGGCGCCCTCTTGCAATTACAATTACTTTTGAACTTAGACATCTATGATATATGTGTAAACTCTGGAACAACCATAGCAACAACTAGGATGCCCTCTTTCCATTACAATTACTGTACTTTCTACTGCTTTTCACTGAACATCGACGCTTCTATTTGTTACGTGCTATTTGTTACGTGTAGAATCGTGGAGAGCGCTATCTTGTTATTATAAGATCTCTGTCTTAAATACATATTTGATAGAGGGGCCTGAATATCAGCTGGCATTCCAGGCCCAGTTGGAAGGGTTACCTAAGCTCTAAATAAAGTTGAAATAAAAAAGTAAATGCAGTACTACAGCTAAAGATGATAGAAGAAAATAGAGTACTGCAGCTGAAGAGGATGGAAGGAACTACTACATTTAAAGAGGATGGAAGGAACTAGAGTACTGCAGCTGAAAAGGATGGAAGGAACTAAAGAGGATGGAAGTAACTTTGTACCTAATTGTTTGCGTATTGTTTCCGTCATATCAGCAAGCTCCTTATGGCCTGATGCAATCAGAGCCTTTTCCCTTGTCAAATCCTTCATGTTCTCTTCAATGTTGTGGTGGAGCTCCGTCTGAGAGGTCTTTAAAATCTCATGCTTGGACATCAGTTCTTCTTGACTCTCAGAGATTGTTTCAAATGTCTCTTTTGCCATTCCATTTAATGTTTCTTGACCTTCCTAAAATTACCAAATTATTTTCCTTATCAATTAAATTAGCTAATTAGCAAGCAGGTTAGATTGCTAATGTGAACCTCTTAATAGCAGCCATCTACATTATATAAAGTATTTTTTTTAAATGATTTGCTTTTATAACATCAGAATCAATATTGACAAAATTATTTTATTTTCAAGCAGTTTCATTTCATATCATATTGTCCATTGTCAATTAAATTTCAAAAATATCAGATGCATTTAAATACCTGTAAGAAGTTCATAATTTGCAGCTGGTTCGCAGCACTTGCTGCTAAATTATTCACGGTTTGTTGAGTTTTACTTTGAAATTGCTGCTGTCGTACAGAGTAGCAAACTGAGCGTGCTCGGTTACTAACGATGTGGTATGCATTCCAGGTGTTTGGATCCATTGGGCCTGTACATTCTGAAACGGTCTGAAATGAAAAAAAAAATGTATGAAGCACAGATGGCAATAGGCGAGACTTTTGTTATACCTTGTTTTGCAAAATTATTTATTTAAAGATCGCCAGAGGACAGGAAAAGAAAAATTTGTTTGACTTTTAGCAGATAGTTTTGCCGAAAACATCCAGGTGGAGGAGAAAATAAAAACAGTGTAGTAATGGGATGTTTAAATACTTTAAATTTATATAATCAGGAAGAAATCTACATCATATTTTTGGAGATTTCAATAAAGATAAAGAAAAACTTCAATTTTTCCATGGCGGCGGTTGTCCTAATTAATAATGCAGTCATTTATAGAGCGCTCTTATCAAAGATATCACAGCGCTTTACAAACAGATAAAAGGTAAAAGTTGTTTGAGTACTTAAATATTAAATAAATGACTCTTCAGGGAAGATTTGAACTGTTCGATGTAGACTGTCGGATGTGATGATGGGAGATCATTCCAAACATGGCTTAAAAAAGTCTTGCCTTAAATTATTACAATGTTACGTAAGCATCACTGAATATAATTAGTGATGTTAAATAATTATTTACTGTAAAGTTTAATACATAGTCTGTAAAAAGGCATGTGGTAAAACAACATAGCATGAGCATCTGATGATGATGATGAGCATGAGCAAACAGAAAGGTCATGAGTCTTGGTAATGGGGTGAAATAAAATTTACCATCTCCTCTGTGCAAACATAGGTGGGCCGGCCTTCTGCTTTTGACTGACAGTTTAGAAGAGCGACACCAAGCTTTGCCAGTTGTTCTTCTGTTATGTGTTCGCATAATGTATTTAAATCAGCTATCACCTGAAAATTCAAATAGGAAGGTTATGAAACACTAAAAATCATAGCCTGGCTGAATAAAAATACACACACATATAACAAAGTTTTCTGCGTATTTTGCAATTAAAATGAAGAAAGAACAGACGTGATAACAGCCTGTTCTCTTTAAAAACTGTGATTATTAGGCCTTTATAAACCGATTTACCTGACATCTGCTCTCTGTGTGTGGAATCTGTGAACACGGGCTTATGAGGTGGATCCAGAGACAAGGATTTATCCGGAATATCTACAAGTACATAAAGATTATGCATTTAATATTACTGTTACTCATTCATTTTACAATATCTGATCATTTTATTTTTATTTGTTTTGTTTAATATAGACATAGGAATGACAGACGAGATAGACCCCTAGTGTGAACTGAACTTTATTGAACATATGCTTTTAGTCAGCGGCACACACCAGGATGATGGTGCGTTCACAAAGGAAACATACAAAATCAAGGAAATTATAAAAATAAAGCTAAACTAAGAAAAACAACGAGCAAACAAAATATAAAAGTTCAAAATAGAGTAGTACAAAAAAGTAATTAAATACAGTATTTTACTGGTATTTGGAAATACAACAGTAAGCTAACGAAAATCTTCACACTATTATTGCAGTTATAAATGATATCAATATTACTATCATTATTATATTATTATTATTATTATTATTATTATTATTATTATCATTGTTATTATTATTATTATTATTATTATTATTATTGTTATTACTACTACGACTATCATTATCATAAATACAGTATTTTACTGGTATTTGGAAATACAACAGCTGTCTCTTATACACATCTAGATGTGTATAAGAGACAGATATACGACAGTATTTCTAGCTGTATTTCCAGATTTATCTGGCCGAATGCCCTCTTGAGGCATAGCATTGTGTAATACAATGTTCCCAACGGGTATTTGGACCTGTTGAACCATGAAGCCTTCGTGGTCTAGTGGTTATGACGCTCGCCTTGTCAGCGAGAGGTCGCAGGTTCGAAGTTTGAAAGGCAAATGGGAAAAACCCATAAAACAGCAAACGGCCATATAATGCAAAACAATTTAAAATTAAAACGGAACAGTAGAGAAAATCCGATCAGAATGACAAAATAAAATCAGCATCCACTGGAAGGAATCCCTATACAGTATCTGCAGACGGATCCGTTTCGGCCTTCCAGGCCTCATCAGATGATCAGTGCAGTTAGGGTACAGACCCATACGAAACGTTCATCCAGCTTAGGTAGGGCCCAAACTAAACTAAACTACGGTTTGACCAAAGTGGGTACGGGTTGGTATGGGTACGGGTTTGTTTGGGTACGGATTGACCGACATCCATCTAGGAATAGGGCAAACAGTGGCCTTCTTTTTCCTAATCTATCTTTATTCTTATCATTTAGCCTAGCCCAGGCTTATAATAATATCCATTCAAAAATTATGTTGTTTTCATCACACTGTCCGTATTTACCTTATGTTGACAACTATCTAGTTCGGACAATTGAATTAATGCTGTTCCACTTGATAAAAATTTCTCTTCCACTGATTTCAGTTCGAAGGGGACTCGTCTTCTCATCAGGTCGAGTGATACTTTATCGCCGCCGTCTACCTGGTCATTTATATTACCTCGGGTTTCATCATCATGCTGGCTAGACTTACTCCACATCCAACTTAAAATGCCAGCAAAGCTTTGTGTGGACAGACAAGCAAGAATTAGTACTATTAACAAATAATTCTTCATAATATTTATATGTCTATAATGGTATCCGTCTATATAGGCTAATGATACAGTACAACAAAACACAAAATACATGCAGAGCCCAAATAAGCCTAGGCCTACACCTTTGTTGCCGGAGTATCAAGCAAGTTTGGACAAGTCAGCTGAGCTTTGACGATGCGCTGCTAGCCAAGCTGGGACCGGACGTGAATTGAAATGTTCATGGATTTCAAAATTTCGCGGAATGTATTAGCGCCACCAGGAGCTCCCAAATTTGTGACTGATGAGGAAAAAAACCTGACCACAAAAGTTTTTTTGTACTCTGCTGCATTTTTTCTTTTTGTTTTCTGTAATTGAATATTTTGTCTGTAAATCACGGTTGAAAAAAAAGTAAGGTGTACCAGCGTTAGCCTGCTATCCAGTGGCTCCCAACCTGGGGTCCACGAGGGTCCGTCAAGCCAAAAGGGTACTTGAAGAATCTCGGGATCCGCGAGATTTGAGACAAATTTTTCATGATTCAATTAGTTTTCTTGTCTACAGTGTAATCACACCTTACTGCTAATATGCCTTATTAATAATGAAATACCTTTGACATAGGCATGACTTCGTTTACTGTAAATTGTTAATGTTTTACCTGGATTTTAATTCCAATATTTTTTTGGTGATCCTTTATATTTGTTTTTCATATAATTATGTACTGAGACGTGTAGGCCTATAGGAGAGCCAATTCAGGGGCGGATCCAGAATTTTTCAAAGGGGGGGGGGGAGGGTGGGGCACAACGTTTTCAGAATAGATAAGTAGCGTTATTTCAATACATAACATTGCTATGCAATTGAAATGGCAAAATGAGGGCACGTGCCCCCGGGGCGGATTTATCAAACTTGCTATAGGCAAAAAAATTTGCTTAAATTCGTCTAGCTGCCGTGCGTCCATGCGAGAAAATCCCGATCCGGATACCAACAATATGATGATCGAATCATTGCCAATAAGAAACTGGAAATTAACTGAACTGAACTGAAATTTATTGAACATACGCTTTTAGATCAGCGGCACACATCAGAATGATGGTGCGTTCACAAAGAGGAAACATACAAAATCAAGAAAATTATAAAAAGAAAGCAAAACAAAGAAAAACAACGAGCAAAACAAAATATAAAAGTTCTAAACAGAGGAGAATAAAAAAGTAGTTTAACAAAGTATTTTACTGGTATTTGGAAATACAACAGTTAGCAAAGACCTTCTCACTATTAATGCTATTATTAATGATATTAATATTATTATTGTTATTATGCGTGATTGTTATTATTATGTGTGATTGGTTGATGATAGAAACGCCCTCAACTTGCTAACCGATAGCGCTTGCTAACCGTTAGCGTATCCGGATACCGAAACGGTTAGCGCTAACCGATCGGGCGTTCTCACGCAGGTGCTAACGGTAAGCGCTAACGGTTAGCTCCCGATCCGGATACTAGGGGTCTCGTGAGAACCAGGCTAGAATCTCTCGTAACATTTGACAGTTCACTTCCGGTTGAAATCACAAAAATGGCTTTAACGCATGCGTAAGCAAATATTTGCTGCCCTCTATAAGCTACAAGAAGTCGATTGTACGCATGCGCCATGTAGGACGATGTTTTAGCTAAGATTTTCATGCTGAGACGGTTTGATAAATTAATCAGCTTAAAGATTTTTGCTTAGCTACTTGACTTGACATTTTTGCTAAGCTGAGATTGATAAATCACAGTACTGGTTCCGCGCTTACAATTGATAGCGGCAATCCTCAGGTAATTTACATCTTGTTTATGGAACGCCATCGCTGCCTTCGGTAACAGCTTAACATTCGGCGCATTTACATTCGGCCCTTTTACCATTACGTTCGGCTCTTTTACCATTCGGCGCATTTACATTCGGCCCTTTTACCATTACGTTCATTTACATTCGGCGTATTTACATTCGGCGCATTTATAAATAAAATATAACCTTTGACATGGGGTCAAATAAAAAATTTCAATGGCTGTGGGAATGAGCCTATAAGAACTAGAAGAAGTAGGCCTAGGTCT